CGCTTGCCTCGAGTGTGGAAGTGGAGGTCATGCCGATGACATCACCCAGGAGAGAGCCTTCATCATCAACTCTCTCATTACCAAAACTAAGGTAAACTGGGCTGCACACTTTTTCAAATCCATTTCAAAACATCTAGGAAAGCACAATCAGAAGTATCTCTGTCAAGGTCTGTATATTGGACATATTTTGGAATCTATGTGTGCCGCAGTTAAAGGGAAAAAGTATGAAGCCAGATACTGGCTATACTACTTATCCTCCAAAGGAGAAAATAGAGCTAGTGCTAGTGCCACTGCAGAAGAAAGCTCATCAGACAATGTTCCACTCATCAATTTCCCAAAGACTGCCAAGAGAAAGCATGCGGTGTCTCCCTCTCCCAGTGCTGAAGCACCACAGAATCTCGCTCCAATAAATCTTGAAGAAGAAGAAGAATCCTCTGACCAAGGAGAACTACAAAGGAAAAAGAAGAGGAAGATCACCTCTCCCTCAACATCTGGAAATGTCAATCCGGATGAGTTGAAGGAGAAGGAACCTGCTGAGGAAACCTCTGCTCAAAACCGGAGCCCTCAACAACTTGAAGAAGAAATTCCTCAAGTCCAAAGCCTTCCAACCTCATCACTTCAACCTCAAATAGATGATGCAGATGACCAATTCTGGCAGCTCTACTATGATTGGAAAGCCTGGAAAGTTGGAAATTCAGCAGAGCAACTGTTGAATTGGGACCAACAACTGAAGAATGAGAAGATCATCAAGAAGTGCTTAGGAATACCAATCAACCACAACTGTGAACAAATTTTGGATGACTACTGGGTATGGCAAAGGAATCCTGAAGACTTGCATCTGGAATACCTGGCCAACACACCAGTTTCTGACTTTGAAGCAGATGATGAAGATCCTGCAGTCTTCAAGTCAGTCTTCTCAAAAGACACAGAAGATCAAGTGGTTTTCACTTCTGAAGCACAAGGTATTTTGGAAGCAGCAGCTGAAGATTTCCAAATACTTCCGGAAACCTCACATGTTTCTGAAATGGTTCTAACTGAAGTTGTAGAAGAGAAGGCAACCTCTCCCCCACAAGAACAGAACCAGGAAACAGCAGAAGAAGAAGAATTTCAGCAACTAATCCAATCTCAAGTTTTGGAGATTCTCACCACTCCTTGTGAGATCTCCAATGCTACTGAAATTGAGATCCCGGAGAAGTCAGCAGAAATTCCGGAACTGTCAGCTCTTCCAGAAACAATGGAGCAAGTTGTTGAAGCACAAAGGAATTCTGGAGAAGCTGAAAAGGAAACTCAAATGGCAGAACTAGAGGTCTCTCAAACTCCAGTAGCCATTTTTGAAGAACAGAAGACAGCTGAAGAAAGAGACTCCCTCTCTAGGGATATATCAAATTTTGCGCTTGATGAAGCAGAAGGAGAGTCTGAAAGAACACTGAAGGTTACTGATGAAGAAGATGTACAAGAAGATGCTGAATCTCTTCCTATGCAACTCTTCCAAAGAACACCATCATCTCATCAGGTAACCAATTTTCATTTCCATAGCTCTTCCACCCCTACTCTTCCGGATGAGATACCGGAAATCTGGACAAAGAAGGTCCAAGGGCTGATTGAATCAGCCCTAGCATCTCAACATGCCTCCTTTAGGCAAGAGATAGAGCAAATGGAAGTCAGGCACACCCAGCTGATAGAGAAATCTGAAGGAAAACACAGCGCAGATCTCAAAGAAATAGGCAAATCAGTGCACAAGACTCTGGAGATTATCTCTCTATTGAGTGAAACTGTGAGCAACACGATGGAAATATATGCCTCTGACAGTCAACTTCAACTCAAAGAGATCAACAAAGTCAAAGAGCAAATAGCGAGTGTCACAGTTAGTCTCCAAAAACAGATGTCCCTTCTCCAAATGGACATCAGATCAGCCCTAGCAGT